GATTAGGCGTGATAGAGACAGATCAAACAAGTGAGCTGCCTCGTGTGAGTGATTTCAAGAATGCCTGCATATCCCATGTGATTCTAATATGGAAAGTCCCATTCTAATTAGTTTGATTCCACTTTTAGAGTCAGCTTTAAATCACTGCACACAAGCCAGACACTAAAACTGGGCATTAGATGGGGGGGGGGGGTGAAAGTACAAATTTCATATGGCCTTTTGCCATTTAAGCTTGTTCTGGTGAGTTAAAATGAGAATGAGAAGTGAAAAACTTCCTAGAAAATTGCAAAGGTTCCAGCACCCTAAAGGCAGTCACGGGGAACATGATAAATACATTTCATTGTGTCTTCATACCTCTCCTAACAAATCAAATTTCTGTTTACCAGGAGCACAACTTGGACTGGTTTCCACGAATGCGGGCCATGTCTTTGGTCAGCAGTGACGCAGATGGGGAGCAAAATGAGATCAGAAATCTGCAGGAGAAACTGGAGTCCACAATGAAACTGGTGTCCAACCTCTCAGGCCAGCTGACCGAGCTCAAGGAACAGGTCGGTTTGAGCTAAAGTTGATCAAAAGACCGAGAATCTGATTTTGATGTCTGACACTTTGTCAGGGGGAGAAAACATGAAGCATTAGAGGGGTTTTTTTCTTTTTTCTTTTTGTAAAGAGCAAAGCTGACGTTTTTTCAGTTTTGTTTGTTTGTTTGCTCCTCATTGCCCTTTAGATGCAAAGCTTTCTAAATGCAAAAGGTGGTGAGTCATAGTTCACAGCACCGCTCATGAGATTCTCAATCTGATTTTATTTTCATCACTGAGTTATAAGCACATTTTTGTTTCTCTGGATTATAGACCTGTTAGCTAAGCTTTTTTCTCTGTATCTGTCTTATTTCGGTGCGTTATTAAACCAAACTTCAGTTCAGTTTGGTTATTCTGTAAAAGATTTTACTTTTTGCATTCAGCAGACACACTAGAAGTTGTGTAAGGATACAGTTCTGCTGGTATTGCATATCCAGGAAAACAAGACGATTGTTGCACAATCTGCTGTTTCTAGTAAACAGAATTGTAAAAAGCCTTTTACCCTCGAAATGAGAACTATTTGTGAGGAAGTGAATGTTTCAGAGACATTTTGACCCAGACAGTGGAGGAAATGATTATTGTGCCTCCAAGAGCGATGACGGGCACAGGAACATCTGTCACATCGCGCTGCAACGCACAAATGCTCGCATAGCCTGCTTTGATTTCTTTTCCTTCGCTTGATGAATTTAAACTCTTCACTTTCTCAGGAACAAACCAACGTTTATTCACCGGAGAGTGAAAATTATGCCATGAGCGCTCTCCATGTTGAGTCACTCAAAAGATTGCCATAATTAGCAAATTATAGTGCAAAAAGGACGGCATGCTATTGCTGTCTGACTTTAAATGATATTTTTGTCTAACACGTCCCTCTGCGCAGAATTATTTCTGCTGGAACACTCATTACAGGACCACTTTGTCTTCTCACTTTTAATATTGTTGTGTTTCACTGCCGAGGTGCAAATCACCACTTTATGTCAATTAAAGTAAATTCTTAGCAGAAAACCCTCTCTTGTTCCTGCTCGTATAAAGGTTAGCACCTGCGTTTTGACTCATGCGCTTCTCTTGATCTCTGAAATTTCTCTTGACTGAGTTTCAGGATTAGTAGTTTGTATTCGGCTGCTTTCGTCAGAAGACACAGCAAAGTGGATGACAAGGCTGGCAGGATTTCAGAAGAATGTGTTTCAGTTGAGCTGCATGCAGAGTTTGCTGCTGCATTTTGTCAGTTTCTATAAGGTGCTGCGAAAGACTGAATCGATTAAGACTGCAGAGCAGAGAAGGTGGAATAATTTTTTCTTTTTTCTTCTTTTAACAAAACGAGCCCTCTCTGTTCCCCTCAGATGACAGAGCAGAGGAAGCAGAAGCAGCGGATCGGCCTTTTGGGACACCCTCAGCACATGAACGTCAACCCTCAGCAGCCTGCGTGAGGTCGACCGGCACACAGCCCTGAAGGAGCTCCGCGTTGGCTTTGCGCCCAGGTGGAGCGCGCACTCCTCACGCCGAGGTTGCACATAATGTATACTGCACTGAGTGTAACTTATAACGGTAGGGAAACACTGTAACATAGGTAGTCATAAGGCGATGTGTAGCTCTACCCACCACGCATGTGTTACTCTAGAACGTGACACTCACCCACCTCATTCTGTTCAGGCCTGTCAGAACTGGTGCCAAATGTTTCCTAGGTAGAAATCATTTGGATTTCTGAACACAAGGCCTTCACTGGTTGAACTTGAAATGGGGGGAAAAAGCTGACTGGACAAGAGGGAATAGTCCCATTTGTTGTTCTTTTTTTTATGTTATTGTTCTCTATTTATATTTCTAGAATAATGAGCAGTATTACATGTCTTATTTTTGTATGTTGTGCAATATATTAACTTAAATATGCAACCTCATTGGTGTGTGGGTTGAAATTCCATCATTTATGTCTTATTTAAAAGCACAGCCCGATGTTTTGTCTCTGGATAAAATAGAGAGCTGTTGGTTGCCTGTACTTACACACAGATAGGGATAATACTTAATAAGCTGGCCTTCTCAGTTTTACTTTCTTCTTTTATTTCTTGAAAATGTGCGTACTTGTTGAGGGGCAACGGCACTCAGTATAGATAGCATATTGTTTGAGAGCAATATATACGGATAGTTTACTTTCACCTGTGTAAAGCCAACAGTGTCATATCTCAGTGCTAACTAATTTTATGATATATTTGCTTTCTTATTTAACTGGGTCGTAAAGGACATTTAGTGCCACTCATGCTAATATTTGCTCAGGAGTTGTGTCATTTTTACAATAATAAATTTGTCCAGTTTTTGCAGCAGACTTCTTCCATTTGTGCCCGTTTTTGGTCCTCGAGTTAAGTCTGAGACATGTTTGCTGCTTGTGCTGAGTCACTTTTATTTCCACCAAAACTCATTAGTTGCTACTGTTAGACTTCTCTCATTTTTGGACTACCTATGTGTATATACAATTTGTTGCTTACCTTCGCTTTTGTATAGAAAAATGACAAGAGGGGGGAAAAAACAGTTACTTATGAATATTATAATTACTTAAAACATTTAGGCGCTATCAATTTGTATACTGGAGTAGAATTATTTATTAAAATTGATGTAATTATCCTTTACTCCCTTTGCTGTGTTTGATTGTTATTGATGTGCTTTTACAGGATTTATAATGTGTTTTTGTTTACAAATGCACACATTCGTACATTACCACATGACTCATTTCTTTTAATACTGCCTTTGTATCTTTATTTCAGTAACTGCAGACCTATAAAGCAGAAAAATGTATGAATTTGTCTTCATCTGATCACACAAATGGATACTGAAATACAAATGCCGCTCACTGGCAATAAGCAAAATGTTCTATATGGGTTCACACGGAAAGTTTTGGTTTAAAAATTAAACTGGGCCACGTCCCGAATTATTCTTCTGGCTTTCAGAGAATCTGTATATGCTGACTGGAAACGGGGAACATCTGAGTAGAATATATCCTCATTGATCAGGGACTTTCCTGATTCTCTGACAGCCAAGTATATGTTCACCAAGCTCTACTTAATGTGTAACTGTCCAGGTTCAATCAGTTGGTGTCCTGATATTTAGAAGCACTTGATTTTTTTTTAATTCATTTTTTAATGAAATGTCTGCATACAAGAGCCATTCATTTGTCAGTCATTTCCAGAAAAATGTAAACAATTTTCTACAAAATTATCCCTCCAAACCCCTTAAACGAGTCCCTCGGTGCAAAATCAGCATTCTTGCTTGAGTGTTTTTCAGCAGATAAACTGTGGTCAGAGAAGCTCATGCTTCATAATGCCGATTCTTGCATAAGGAAGGTGGTAGTAGGTGCAGACTTGCTGCATCTGTAAATGCAAACTTTAAGGGTGCAGCGTGGTTACAATGATTCTTAAACAACTTATATTGACTTATATCAACTAATATTTTAGGGCACGGAGAACGAGTGCAAATTTTCTACACTAATGGGAGTAGGCTATATGCACACAGTTCGGGGTAATCAGATACTGTTAATATTATTTTAAAACCACACAGTTTGGCACCTAATTGTGTGAAATGATAAGAAATGCAGACAGTTGCATCTCCACAGAACAGTGAAAACGGAAAGATGAGTTGAAAACAGTAGTTGACACCCCCTCCCCCCCCTTATCGGAATTAAGTGCAAAATCTTATCTGCAACCCCTTCCCGTTCCCTCCTCTCCTCTCCGTTGTTTTGAAGCTGTTTCTATATTTAGTCTGTCTGCTTCGGGACGTCGGCGGGTGGAACCGACCGACCAGTCGGGCATTCTCGGTCGTCTGCTGGACTGACGTCACCGACAGGGATCCGCTCTTCGGCTCTCTCCCGGCCATGAGGAGCTCAACGTGACAGCGCGCTGGGTACAAGCAGGTCTAATAAGTACCAGCACGGTGCGGGTATGTAGAAAGAAAACGCTCCACCACAGGGACTCTGTCATCCTGCCGCAGGTGCACGTGCACGTGCCGCACACCAGACCCGTACAGAATGAAATTACACGGGTGTCCACGCCACATTGAGCGCGTGACACTTGGCAAGCTCTGAAAATGCGGAGAGTTAAAATGAGTGGCCCGCTGGCCGCACTGAAACGTTGAGACCCCATAGATAATTATCGCGTGACTCATCGTGTCGCAACTGTTTGTCTCGCCCGCATTGAGCCCAGTGTAAGTATGTTCGCGTGAGAAAATAAAGCGTCTAAAATGAGCAAAGTCTTGGAAGAGTTTTTGTAAACAAGTGTTGCAACTTAATGATAAAAGCTTCTTCTGCGTTATAATTTCTACATGTTAACTAGTTTCGCTTAATTTTACCACAAAATTTTTTTCATCTCAAAATGTAGGCCTTTTGCTAATACCCAATAATAAAAAATAAAAAAGTTGTATTTCAACGTCGAAGCTATAGTATTCTATGCTAGTGTTTCTATCTAATCTTAATAAAGTTCTATCTATAGTGCAGCTTACTATGAAGCTTATTATGCCAGTTAAAATGGGGAAAACGGCTCCACACTTCCTAACTGTCCAGGGGAAATCTGTTGCTCTACTTTCTGCCTCCATAAACACGCTCTGCTCTGCAAACACGACTCAACCCCCAAGATCCGAAGCGTGGTGGTACACGGGACTCGGCCCCGGTGGAGGAGTACTACACAAATGGGTGTGCTCCAGCAGCAGAGAGAGGGGGCGGAGCGAGCGGGGAGGTGAGGAGTTGAAAGCACCGTCCAACACGTGAGGCTCATGTGACGGAGCGGAGTCTGTGTCTGTAGCTGAGAGACGTGCCTGCAGTCACAGGGTTTATTTAACACGTAGTCAGAAATCCACCCAGCTCTCACACATTGCGCCGGGCGTGGAGCCTCCCTAGACATACTACTGAGTCCCGGACCTCAGGGCGACAAAACTCCAGCTGCGCTCGACTGCAGCTCACAACAGGAAAACACACTCACACTGGATAAGAGGAAATAATTTTTTCTCATTTATTTCTTTTATCTTGGAAAGTTTTTGTTTTTTTTTTTCATTTTGAATTGCGGCTGCTGGGACAAATTTTGGAGCTTTTTTTTTTTTTTTTTTTTTTAAAAAAAAAGCATTTTCTTCAGGTTTTACATTTAATCGACATGGAGAGGATTACCAGCGCCCAACCACCTCCCTGTATGCCAAAACACCCCTCTCTGGATATAGCTGACATGCAAGGGTAAACGAAGCAATTTCTATTACTTAAAAAAATGTCATTCTGCACTTTATACTGAAGCTCTGTGAAATCAACTAATTTAATCTTCTCTCCAAAGAGTGGATTTTCCAATTTATGTGTATAAACCCAGGAGGGGCATGAAGCGAGATAATGAGAGCAAGGTAAGTTCTAGTTTTTACAAGTGTAATATATTTAAACAGTTAAATCTGAGCAGAATTTCACTGACCACCTTTCACAACCCTCTCCAGGAGACCTACAAGTTGCCCCACCGACTTATCGAGAAGAAGAGACGCGACAGAATAAACGAATGCATTGCCCAACTGAAAGATTTATTGCCAGAACATCTTAAGCTTACAGTGAGTATTATTTCTGCATATGGCAGGTTTGCTAACAGCCAGAGAATCTGAGACGCCACATGGTTCTGCTGAGCAGTTTGTTTGCGCCATATTTTCAGTTCAGCTTTGAAGCCTTAAAAAAATATATTTATATACATATGTCTATATTTATTTTTTATTAAGAGAAGAACCGAATAATAATAATTTTTAAAAAGGTTTATTTTTTTAAATTTTAATTGCAATCGTACTTAAAAAAATTCATTTAATTGCTTTGTTATTTTAAAATTTGTTACTAGAAGTTTTTGTACGTGTGTACATGGACTGCATGACTTCCCGGTGTTCCAGACTTGTTCTCTGTTCAGCTGCAGAATGTGTTACATAAGAAAGATCAACATGCTTATTGAAGGTCTTCCTGTTTTAGACGCTGGGTCATTTGGAGAAAGCTGTGGTGCTGGAACTCACACTCAAGCATGTGAAAGCCCTGAGTTCTCTCCTGGAGCAGCAGCAGCAGAAAATTATTGCTCTACAGAAGGACCTGCAGCTTGGTAAGTTTGAGTTTTCATTTTTATTTTTCTTATTTGTTTAGGCTGTGAAGTGGAAATGGTACAGAGGCATCACTGGGGCTGGCACTGTGTGGTCTGTTGTGTTTTATTGAGGTAAAACTTGCTGTAAAGAGGATTTAAACTTTTTTTTTTTTAATCACCTAGGTGATCATGGAGGTGACAGCGCTGAGAGCAGTGAGGAGATGTTCCGCTCTGGCTTTCACTTATGCGCCAAAGAGGTTCTGCACTATATGGCCACCCAAGAAAGTAGCAGGGACTTGACTCCTTCGCACGTAATCACTCACATCCAAAAGGTAGCAGCGGAAGTCTTGCAGCATCGAATCAGCCTTCGGCCGGATGAGGATGTGGGCTCTTCTGAAAAAGTGAAGAAATCCGCCGGACAGCCACAGAGGGCCTCTGAAGGCCCTGCTAAGAACTGCGTCCCAGTCATTCAAAGGACTTATCCCCACGGGACAGGGGAGCTGAGCGGTAGTGACACAGACACTGACAGTGGCTATGGGGGAGAACATGACAAGCGGGACCCCAAAGCCCAGTGGTCAGAAAGCCACTCGATGGAGGGGGAGCTCAACCATTCGGGATCTGAGCGCATGGCCAGTGTCATCAAGCAGGAGGATGATGAGCCTCGGGCCAAGAAGCTGAGATCGGACTCCCCGGAAGATGAAATTCTCTCCAGTCACACGACAGGAGTTCCTGGTAGTTACCTGAGCTTCTCCCCTAACCAGAACCCGTTTTGCCTTCCCTTCTACCTCATCCCCCCCGCAGCAGCGGCAGCAGCAGCGTATCTGCCCATGCTGGAGAAATGCTGGTACCCTGGGGGCTTGCCTGTCATGTACCCAGGCATGAGCGGTTCTGCAGCAGGCCTACCCCCAGAGGCACTTCCCTCGTCTCTGATGATGTCCATGTCCCCGAGGGCAGGATCTCCAGTACACCACCAGAGTCGCATGGACTCCCCCACGTTTCACAAAGCTTTAAAGCAGGTCGCTCCCTTGAATCTGGAAACCAAAGACTGAGCAGATGTGTCACAAATCGTGTCCTCTGAATGTCGAATGGGATAAACGAACACGAAAGCACTGGTATCCCATTAAACAGCAGCTGTAGTTTGACCCATTGTGTCCCACCTCCATCTATCATGAGCTCCTGAAGTGAAATGAGACTTTCTGTGGGGATTCTGGCATGGCCACGAGAAGGCTCATGTTAGACCTTTTGCATGGCTCTGAAATACTGTGAGTTTTAATACGGTCAGTTTAGAGTGCACGAGGGAGCGCGCAAGTGTTTTTCTGCAATACCTGTCATCTCAGCACTTATTGTTGAATGTCAAAGGTTAACCTAGAATGTAAGGTGTAGACTAACCCTTCCACACACAAACACACACCCCATTTGAAAACATTTTGGAGCTATTTTCTTTGCGCGCGCACACAAACACATACGCCAGTCTGTAATGAATGTAAAGATTGAACAAAAGCTCCGTCGTAGATGCTGCTTGAATGACTTTTAAGGATGATCTACTTTCAGTGTTTGTTGCTCCTGTAAATGCAACAAACTATTGTTTTAGACCTACCACAAAAAACAAAACAAACAAAAAAAAATATTGCCCCTTTAACTCCTTCAGTTATGGCAAAGCTAAATGAACGCAGAGTTTAGAGTTCAAAGAATTCAGGGCGTTGTCGCCGTACGAGGTGTGTCACTCATGTCTGTCGATGAATGATGTGGCCATACACGCTTTTATGATTTAATTTGTTGCTCATGACTGTTTGTGCATTTTTTTTTAGGTGGAGTTCCTGTGAAGCAGTGTCTTGTAATTATTTCTTTTGCTTATACTACTCGTACATCTCTATTTTTGATACGTGACCCACTGAGTGTATTTTGTAGGGAAAGGCTGAGGGAGCGATTGGCTGTACGTTGCGACATCGTGTACAGTATACATATGGCGTCAGCCTGATTTGCATATTGCCCACTGCTTTCCAGTCGAGTCCAGGCCTGTTTTTAGCTCATGCTGTTGCCTTTACTCGTTTTAACACAGACACAAACAGTGGCAGGTGATTCAAACATATTTGCTTTAAATGTGTCTGTGGCAAAGAGAGTGAATGTAAAGTAAAACAAATATAATAGTTTTGTATAGAAAGAGGTACTTGGGATTTTTATTTTGAAATGTAATGCAAAGGATGTACATATTTTGTATATAAAGTATTATTGATATATATTAAAGTATTAATAAAGCTTTTCCCCCTCCCTGTGGAATTTGTGTTGGACTGTCTGTTGGCTTAAACGTGTTGTAGCCAGCCACCCTGACAGTTTCTCATAACAAGGCATACTTACATAACACTTACATAACCCATAAAGCAGCACAGTCTCTGTAAATCAATAGCGTGTCTTAGACTACTGTAAAGGTTGTGAACATTTTCAATTCCGAAGGATATCTACAGAAATGTGCAAAGGAATCGTTCATATTTATTTAACCGTCGGCTATTACAGATGAGTAACAGTGGAAAGGAAGAACTTGCCATTATAACCCACTAGTATGACGATCCATAGTGTGAGTCTGAAACCTGGAGATAATGTTCCTAAAAAAGAATAAAGTGGGCATGAACTTCGTGTTCACCGAATTACGAGAAGTTTACCTTTTGTGGTTTAATTCTCAAGTGGGCCATACCTATGTCTGGAGATAAGATGTGTCTGGCAGCTTTAGAAGACCACACTGAAAATGGTATTTGAGGTTATGAGGGAAAGGACTTTTAAGCCTTTGATTTACTTTCGTGTTTAATATGGAATACGTGTCTCCGCCGACCTTCTGCCGCTCGTTTGGGGGCTGTTTCCTGCGTGGTAATGCAGCTGTAGCTGTAGTAATAGTGAAAATAACAAGGCCGATATCATGAGCCGCTTACCACAGACTACGTCTCCATGAGGCGCGTGGAAATGACAGTTTTTCTTTTCTTGTAAACAGTATGTTGATTTTTTTTTTTTTAAATTTAGTCTACAAAGACTGTTAAGGTTGCAAATGCGCCTGACTAATCCAACCATGCGACACAAGCGCCACCTTGTGGAATTAGAGCTTCATTTCGTGTGATAAATTTTAATAAGAGCAAAATATTTCAGGGAACGTTTCAGTAACGATTACATTTTCTAGAAGTTTGCTGAAAGCACTCATCAAAATAAAATACATTCTCACTGTTGCCTTGGTCAGCGTGTGTTTGCAGAATTTGCAGAAAACTGCACTAATCAATGAATAGTAAGTCTCTCAGATTACTTCATGGGGTGTGAAATGGGTTTCCATTAGTAATGAAATTCAAATACTTTTCTTTTACCCAACTCATTGGTGAGGTCAACTTTTTCCACCGGTAGCTAACAGCTGTTCACCAGCACCAAAAGACGAGCAAATAAAATGACAACAGCTGACCGATTTAGCCGTTACTATACTTCAGATATTTTTCTCATGATTTGGTGGAACCAGACCAGAGTCTAATAAGCCTTGGATATAATCAAAAACAACATTTAATTGTGCCAGTGTGTTTTTAATTGGTTTATTTACTCAGCGCATTCTTAAATTAAACGAAGTCTGGGGATGAATACCTGACAAAACAGGAAGAAGAATGTGGAGCTCTGTGTGATTTTTGTTGATGTGCTGTACAGAAGATCCACAAGGGACTGTGTTGTCTCCGTTTCCGTTCACCTTGTACACCTCAGACTTTCAGTACAAATCCAGGTCATCCTACTTACAGAAGTACTCTGATAATTCTGTAGTGGTTGAACATATTAATGATGGGCAGAGGAGGAGTGTAGAGCACTAGTGGATGATTTATGGAGTTGTCTGAAAGGAATCGTGTGCTTCTTAATGTGAATAAGACTTAAAAAAAAAAAAAAAAAAGATGGCGATGGACTTTAAAAGAAAGTCCACGGGTACGTGGCCCGTGTCTATCCTGGGACAGGATGCTGACTTGGGGTGAAGAGGACAAGCCTGAAATGAAAGACTAACACAGATGCTGTGTACTCACGAGGGACGAGCAGGCTGCCCCTAAAATGATGATTTATTTTATTTTATTTTATTTTATTCTGCCTGTCCCGTTTGGTACTTTAGCAATCAGAATTATTGTCTGTAGGCCAAGAAAGATGCCCAATGAATTAATTTTACCAAGTGGATCATTATGGTAACTTGATTGACCTTTGTTGTTGTTGTTGTTGTTGTTGTTGTTGTTGTTGTTGTTGTTGTTGTTGTTGTTGTTGTTGTTGTTGTTGTTGTTGTTGTTGTTGTTTTATTTACTACAGACTGGACAGACATGACTGGGGGATGGGAAAGGGAGAAAGAAAGGGAGGGAAAGAAAAACAGAGAGGAAGAGGGACAGTGAGAGAAGAGAAAAAAAAGAAGAAAACAAGCAAAAAGAGAGCAAAACAATATGAAGACCACAGCAATAACCTAGACAAGTGTAAGTAACAATAAATACTAAATAGTGAATGTTATTTTGCAGCACACAAGACCGACAGCGCACGATGTGCTTTGAGGTAGCAGCCAAGATAGATATAGTTTGTGTCCGTGATCACCCGTTTGTACACCTGTGTGCACACCTGTGTAGATGAGTGCGCTTGTATTCAAAAGGTTTCTCCATGTGAATTTCTGCTACAGGTTGTGGGGAGCCATAGCCCTGCCCTCCAGGGCATGAAGCAGGCATGCAGGAGATCCAGGCCCCAGACATCCAGAAGCCCCCAGAGCGCGAGAGCCCAAGGAGGACCATCGGAGGGGCAGCCGCGCCACCCTCCTGGAAAGGGGCTGAGGAGAGCCCGAGATGTGGGGTCACTCAGCAGGGACGGTGCAGAAGCCACAGGGAGCTGCAGTGACCTGTCTGTGGGCTCCGCCAGCTGCCAGAGCAGACTGAGGCCTGAGGTCCGAGAACCCCCCCACCCCCCAGAAGGGACCCAACTGAACCAAAGGCGCCAGCCCCTGCAAACCGGTACATACCTGAGCACCCAGTCCTGGACAGCAAGAACCACCAATGCACCGACGTCTGAGGGCACCTGAGATGTTCCCAGATCGTCTAAGACCCGACCTGACACAGACACACACATACACAAACATGCATTCCCACCCTCATGCACACATATATAAATACTCGACACTCGCCCAACATGGAGACAAAACGAAATGGACACTGTACACACACTCACACTCCCCACACATACTCTTTACCCAAGAGCTGCATCTGAGACCAAAGTGGAGGTTTGGCCATAATGCACAGCAGTACCTTCAGCAAGAATCAAACACCTCAAACCAACTGTCAACTATGCTGGTTCAAGGGTGGTGATTTTTTCAAAAAGAGCTTGTTCTGCAGCCACAAGAGATAGTCACCTTGCAGCTGACAAACTCCTCTGCATGACAAAGTTTTCTAGACTCAAATGTGAGGCCGTTTGTCCGACAGCTAAAGCTTCTCCTAAATTAGGCCATGCACAAGGATAATGACCCCAGGTACAGAAGCAAATCTGCAGCATGGAAGCCCAGACCTCAACCTGACTGAAATGCTGTGTATAAAGGAATGCTTACAATGCTTGAATTGAAGCAGCAGAGTTGTGGCTGCTAACTGCTGGTTCTGTAAACTACTCAAACATAAAATGATTGCTATATTGAACTAATAAAACGCCTGAATGCTAAATTGTGGATATCCTATTGTGGTGGTCTAAAATGTAACACTAAATGTGATTCAGAAAGTTTTCCTTTGTATATATTACTTTGCATCCAGTGGTTAACATATACTAACGAGTATATATTTTCATTATAGTCAACAAAAATTTAGATACATTGAAACCTCTTGTTTATTTTGTGCCATGTACTGTCACATATGCTAAGCCTAATTCCACAATGATTGCCTGAGCCTATTCTTGTTAAATGATGAAAAACTCAAAGGCACGTTTGGGCAGTGGATCTGTGTGAAATCAGCAGCTTGCAAAAC